CATCAACAGAACCATCATGTTCATGTGGCGCGATCACGCTGACAACAATTCAGTTTGCCCCATAGGTGGAAGCATGTAGCAGCCGCACTTATAAAAGCGTTAAACAAATTGCCTTGGCTCATTCAAACATTCAAACACTCAAACATCAGCAGCCAGTACATTCATTCATATATATCGTGTATGAACAGCCAATCATTTGATACAGATATTATTGTGGTGAGACCGATGAGACCAAATGTGACAAACGATCCATAAAGGAGAGTGGGGCGTGAGTTATGCACTGGGATTGAGTAAAGTTCAGTCGGAAAAACCGGATTCGCCAAGTGCCAAGTGCCAGGAGGATCCCTTGGGGCACGTCACAAACGGATTGTATTCAAATTTAATTGGCCTGATTCGATTTTGATGGTAGCGCTTGATAATTTACAACTTTTCAATTCACAACCTACAGTCGCTCAAGCATTATATACATATATACATACATATATACATGCATGTATATATGTATATATAACAATGATTGGTTGCCGCTTAATTTTGTGCATTGGTTTTGGGAAACACACAGCAAAAGGCTGACACACTCACGACATGGTCGAGGAGGGAACATCCGAGTTCTGGTATCAGCGACAGCGATCTCTCTCGAGAGCCATTGAAATGTGGCAATCATTGAGGGAGCCATAGTCGGAGTCAGAGCCGAGTATTGTAGTGTAGCCATCTCCTTGCTAGTACCAGGGTACCAGGGTACTTGTACCACAGACACTCTCCACCCACATGGGAACACGGCAACAAGAGCCTCATGTTGTGTTCTGACGATCAGGCGCGATCGACGCGACTTGACTCGCACCCGAAAAGCAGTCGGCAGTAGGCAGTCAGCAGTCAGCAGTAAATCCCAGTTACGCTCCTCCCGTGGAGACGACAGTGGAACATTTCAGTCAATTTGAGCAACAAAAAAAAGAAAGAAAGAACCAACTCAACTCAACTCTTCTGTTCTGTTCTCTGTGCCCAGTGCAAGGCAGTTCATCTTAGTCAGCTCTCAGCCCCCTGCCCCGCCATCGTATGTGCGATTTCCGTTTAGTTCCTGGCATATATGCAGCAGATATACTTTTGCACACATCTGCATGTAGGTACGTATGTATGTATGTACGAGTACAACTATAATTGAGGTAAATATGAGAGCAGGAAACGCTTTGATCTCTTGATTTTAACTGCAAGAATACGATTCAAATCAAAAGGAAAGCCGCAGAAGGAAGCCAGCCACGTGTCAAAATATTTGTGACACCATTAACAAAATTATTGTTGATAGACCGCGTTATAATTACCGCGTCCAGCCCCCTTTTATCAACGTACATACGTGCAGACTTATTATATTACGAGAGTATGTATGTTTCTGGCTGCAAAACGACATTTGGTACTGGGATGGATCACAAGGAAATGCTCACTAAATTTATTCAGATATGCAAATGTGTGGCATAAAGTGGAAATTGTTTTATCTGCCTCTGTATCTACTTTTACCAATTCTCTTGTAGCTTCTCTGAGTAACCAAATTTGCTGCCTAGAATTCGCTTAAAATTTAATTTTCTCTTGGATATAATATCAGCTCTTTAGACGGTTCAATCAATATATTTGAGTAAAAAATATAACACCATCCAATCCAATCCAAAATTTCCATTACAGTATTTAACTTACCCCAAAGCAAATGCAGCAAATAAATACATAAATATGCACATATGTATGTATGTATGTAACCCACCTATGATTAAGATGTTCCTAAATTTAATTTCAGAAAAAAAAACAAAAACAATGAAGTGTCTTTGGTTGAAAGGTTTGGACATGTTTTTGAGTTTCGGTTCCACTTGGTTGAACACGGAAATGTGGGTTTTACTTCTTTGCGAAAAAGCTGCACTGCACATCACATCACCTCACCTATTGACTGGAATACTCCGAGTGTGAGTGAGTGAGTGAGTGAGTGAGTCGCCACAGTTCTTTTGCTGCTTGAGTCTCATCATTGTTTAAGGTTTCAGTGTGATCGTTGTCTGCATAATAACATGTCATTATCATTTTATTTGTTTGCCATTTTCAGGTCTTTCAGGGATAACGCCAAGAGACAACGTTCAGTCCGTAGTCCGGATGAAGCTTCCAAGCCAATGTGCTAAATGGTCGAAACACATGTTCTTACTCGTATGTCGAGTGGCTGGCTGGCTGGCTGGCTGGCTGGCTGGCTGGCTGCTAAGATTAGCATAATTGTTACCTACATTTCGGACAATTTTTCAAAACACATCCATGACAGACGACTTACATATATGAATGTATGCATTTAAATGTACGCTTTGTGGTGGAATGTATAACATTTCAATCACTCTTCGCCCAGTGGTTAGAGCCAATAAACTGTGGAATTGTATCCCATATATCCCACACACATACGGGGCAAGAGAAATCACTTTATAAGCACACAAAACATATTTTTTATTTGGTGATTACTAGAACTTTTGTTACGCGAAACGCTACCGTGACCGGGTTCCATTGTGGGGCTTCTGGAAATTAAAGCAAACAATCAGAAAACAAGCTTAAGCTGGAAAATTATAAAGGTCATAATTCTAAGGGGAGAACGAATGTCGAATGTCGACAGCTTATCAATAAGACGTGGTTATACACTTACCTTTGCCCAGTATTGTAGATGGACTGTGGGCTGGAGGGCTTGGAGGAATCCACTAAACCGATTAGTTTTGCCTTGGATTCCAAATGGAGACATTTGCCATAATATATTGGAATTTCCCTAAGCTGGCCCTGAGAAGAAAGTTCGTTTTTGTGTGATGTTAATTATATGCGACAGACACACCGCGGCGCGCATCTGTAAAAATTAAATTACACATTCTCATGTTGAAACTACTATAAGAAGATACAAGATTGAATAAAGCTGACAGCCCGAATCCGTTCCAATTTCCAATGCCCATTGACTCTTAACGGCGCTGACAATTCAGATTTGATTTTCAGATTTTGAGCGAAGGCTTTTGTGTGAAACGACAATGCAGCAGCAACAGCAACAGCCACAGAGACAGAGACAACAAAGCGTTATACGCGTGAATCAGTAATCTGCTTCATAGGAACAGATGTCAGCTTAACATTTCGGTGCCCCTTTTTTTTTGGGTGCTACTGGTTTTTATTTTTGTTCGTTCTATTATTTGCATTAGGCTAGGCTTGTATTGCTTTGATTGGCTGCCTTGCCTTTGCGGCAGGTAAAATGGGTCTGGTCTGGCCATAGAGTAATTCCCCTTCGATCAAGTAAGAAATTATTTATTATATTTTCAGAAATAAAGATAAAATAAAAATGTTTGATGCTCTTTAATGCCATAAGTTGAGGCCTCTTAAACTTACATCGTTTATATAAATATATTTATACTCTATTCCTCATTAATAATCTCAGTCTTCATTCATTCTTCATCCAGGATATTTGCATTGCTTTCTTTTTTTTTTGTGTGTTCCAAAATTAGCTCGATCGACAACCTAAAACCATAAATAAAATAAAATAACTTAAAAGGTTTATTAACCTCTGGCTGCCCACGGAGGGGCTACCACCTTTTGCTACTATGTAGTGCCATTCATAAGTTTTCTGCGCACACTGCTGCTCCGCTGGCTGTTCTGTTTATGTCTGCGAATGCGTTTCCGGTCAGTGACACAGGAAAAACGACTATGCTTAAACAGCACTAAAATCCGAACATCCATAATTGCTTAAATGGGAAGCCTCCAATGGCTTGTGCACTGATTCTACAGATTGATTGGCTTTATAGCTGCACTTGTGCCTAGTTGAAAATAAAACGTCAGTGCCGTCAGTTTTTATATGTTTTCCAATTTATTTATGTCTTGTGTGCATATTACTAATACTATATTTTATGTTTTTTAGATACATTTATCCACTGTCGGGGGCGCTTAGTTGCACTCGAAGCCCAGCTAACTATTTCATGTTGTAGAACCAAAGTTAATTTGTTGAGGTACGAGTATAGGGCTGATTTATTGATTATATGTATATAAATCTTGCAGGCAGAGTATCTTTTGCCTTATTATCTCTGGGGGTGTAGGTTCCTTCTGGCCTCTGCTGCTGCTGTCCACATATCCGAATAATTATTCTTGCATCATACCTTAACGAAATACTTTGCTCTGATTTATGCAGCGTCGCTTTGTGCTCTCGCCCAATATTTACTAGACAAATACATAGTGGATATATTCGTGTAATTGTGTGGGCATAGTTGTTGTCCCATTGCGCTGATTTCGCTTGCTTGCATTCAGATGAATAATCGGGTTTTGTTGTTGTTGTTTTTGTTTTGTTTTTAATTTATCTCTTTATCGTTTTTTTTTTTTTAATTTTTATTGTTGGTAGTATATACAGTTTTATTTGTTTTTCTTTTACTAATTTACACTATACGCTTAGGGAGCTATAATTACGCGAGCTTACATGTACTTACAACTTGTGCATACGCGAGAGTACATCGAATACTCGTACATAGATCTCTAGGTTTACAGACGAAATAATTACAGACACTACAGACGAAATTATGGTACACATTAAGTAGAATAAATTATGTTTACAAACGACAGGAACAATTTTCAAAACTTAAGACGATAAAAACAATAACAGCTAAATCAATGATTGATTGCTCGTGTACATTATTTGGCTTGGGTTTAGGCTCGGGCCCACCGATCGGGTGGGGAGCTGTTGGGCTACTGGACTGATGATCTTTTCTGGTTGATATGTTGTTCGTCCTGCCCCCCGCCGCCCGCCAGCCAGGTCCTTTATAAGTTCCCAAGGCTTGGAACTAACTCAAATTCAAATCATAAATTGTACAACTGAAAGATTTGCTGGGGTAGCAAGTGGGTAGCAAGTGGTACCCTCCCTCCACTCTGTGTTCACCTACAAGCTGCCAAAGAACTGCGTTTCTAGTGGGTGTTGGTTGAGTCTTTTTACCCTTTACTTTTGGTTATATTAGTTATGTCGATTAGTACTTTATTTTTATTTTCATTGATGGTCGCCCCCTGCTATATTTTCAAAATTTACATCCTATAAGCTCTGATTGCATAAGTGTGTGTGTGTGTGTGTGTGTGTATTTAATTAAAATTAAATTATTTTCAAATGATTTTTGGATTATCTTCTCCACAACAAATTGCACAACGTCAGTGGGGTGGGGCGGGGTGGGTGTGTGGGAGTGGGTTTGGGGGCTGGGGTTGGTAGCGGGATGGCGGCTGCGATTTTTGGTTCTCAATGCCCCAAAAAAAAGGAACCGCCACGTTTCAGCTGGTTTCTGGTTTCTGCTATTTGGTATAAGCGGCTTTAATCAAAATACCGAATAATCACATGTAAATTATTGTCCGAAAGTGTGTTATACCTTTCCTTGCCCGGTCTGTTCTGGTCTGGTCTGCGATCGTAAAATTCAGTAGAAGAAGATCATCGACTGCTGCCCATCCTATCAGTTGATCTGCTGCCCCGCCCCCATTAACCGATTTACCGATTTACCGCCTCGATTACGGCCGCAGCAGCGTCAGTTTGGGTGCTTGCTGCTGCAGGTGTTGCTCTCGAAAGGCAATTAGCGAGCGGAAGGCAGAGATTGGAGAAGCGACTGCTGCGGCGGCTGCGGCTGCGGCTCCTCCGTGGTTAACAATCGCCGACGGATCTGGGGACGCACATGCCGATTGGGGTCATGGCTTTGCGCACAGCGACGTCACATTCACACCCGGCGATATTTTACCGGACTGCGAGGACGATGACGAAGCGGTTGAGTGACTGGATATTGGTCCCATCATATTTTGGGCCGCCGACTGTCCGCTCGATGTGGGAATATGGACAACATCACAGCCCATCGATGAGGACGATGAGGACGCCGACGGCGATGCCACAGGCGGTGGTGCCAGCTGCTGGGCTCCACCCACGCCACCCCCCGTCGTCGTCAGGCTGAGCGGGGCAAAGTGCGGCCCGTTGGCCGCTCCCGAGACGGCTGCCTTCCACAGCAGCGGATTCATGCCGAGGCCGTTGTGCGCGGCCAGGCTGGCGTTGAACGAGCGCTGATGCTCCAGAAACTCCTGCGTCGGGGCACTCAGATGCGCTGCCGCCGGGCCATAGAAGCCCCTGTACAGGTCGGGGCGCACGTACGGCGAATAGTTGGGCATGCGGGCGGCCAGCGGCGAGAGGATCTTGCCGGGCGACGGCTGCTGACTAGGGTGGCCGTAAAAGCCCGGATGCGCTGGCGGCAGCTCCGCGCCCAAACTGTCCTTGGGCGCCGAGCTGGACTCCTTGTTGTCCTTGGAGGCCATGTCGGCGAGCGACCAAATGCGCGGCTTGGACGTCCCCCCCACGGCCGTCTGCAGGGAGTTCTGCTGCGCCTGCTGATGCTGCTGCAGCAGCTGCTGCTGATGGTGATGGTAGGCGGCGATGTCCGGCGGAGAGCCCGCCGGCGGCCGGAAGTGATGGTGCAGTGCCGCAGGATGGAACAGGGGATGGGCGCCCGGGGGCATGCTGCCGGGCCGATCGTACAGATCGGGCGAGCCATTGGGCGAGCCTGGCCGCGACTCGGACCACTCGCTGTTGTTGCTCTCGCCGGGTCGGTCCGTCATCATATCACCCAGTCGCCCGGAACGGTCCTTATCATCCGTGGAGCCCACACCAGAATCTTTAGCATCTGTAATGGAATGGCCAAGCAAATGGAGAGGGAATTGTTAGCATCGAATGTGAGGTAAAAGGACTCCTTGGAGGTGCAGGGTAGAGTCTTATTTGTGGTCTTATGGTTTGATTTTGCTTACCCAATAAGTCATTCTCTTCGGTGTTCTTGTCATCGTCATCATCGATATTGGCATCATCGTCATCGACGCGATTCCTTGGCTCCCACGTCATTTTGTTCTCTTTTTTCAGTCTTCTTCTCGCATTGGCGAACCACGTGGAGACCTGGGTGAGCGTCATCTTGGTGATGATGGCCAGCATGATCTTCTCGCCCTTGGTCGGGTAGGGGTTCTTCTTGTGCTCGTTCAGCCAGGCCTTCAGCGTGGACGTTGTCTCGCGGGTGGCATTCTTTCGTCTAGCCCCATTCAAATCCATGCCATAGCTGAAAGCAACCAAAAAGCGCCGGGTTAAAGAGTTATTCGGACACATTAATGCGATAGGGGAAGGAAGGGGACAGGGCACTCATTCTCCGAATAGCAAGCAGGTGATTAAAGGCAAATGGAATGCAGCCGACCAGCATGGCCTTTACGGCCTGTCCCAGCTGTTGCCTGTTGTCGTTTTGGGAAGTTCCTTCCATAAACGACAGACCGTCCGACCCCACAATTGTTGCAATTTGTTAAACTGGTGGCATTGTCGTGGGCTGTCCGAGGCCGAGGGTCCGAGCTCAGAGCTTCATTGGTGGTGGGCGGTCGGTCGGTTCGCTTGGTCTCTGTTCTGCGTGAAATTTGTTCATCATAAACGCATTTGCATGGCCGGGAACATTTATGTATGTGCAGTTTGCGGTCTGACACATTGTCCCCATGCTGTCCACAGTGCCGACTGGGCACTGGGCGCGGGGCACTGGGGGGCACTGAGGGGCACTGAGGGGCATGCGGCATGCAGCGCGAATTCGATGGATACAGTCGATGGATACAACAACTGTCCTTTATCGCTTTTTGTGGGCAGTTAACATGAACGTTTTTAGTATACATATCGGTATATATATACATACTATATATATACATGCATACATATGTATGTGCAGATGTGAATGCTGTGTGAATGTTCTTTCTGGCATTTCTGGGTATTCAAAGAGAGGACCTGAAACGTATGCCCGTACATGTGTAGCTGTCTCATTTGTAGTGTTCCCGGACTGGGGACTGTCAACCGATGCTACATATACACATACATATATATGTATGTATGTATGTATGTATTTATATGCTATCTGGCTGGTTGTTGCATTAATTAATTTAAGTTTGAGTGCGAAGTGTCGCCGAGTGCGAAACACCTGCGCCGACAGCTATTCTGCCTTTGATCACACGACAGCTGAATATATTTTTTTAATTCTTCCATCAGTGTGTGCCGCCAGCTCATTATACACAGCCCGCTACCAGGGTATATTGTGATTGTAGAGGAATATACAAGAATACCAAGAATATGCAACAGCATGGCATATAAATACTCGTATATTCCTATGCCTACACCGATAGAAAAAAGCCCTGAAATTTTAATATTTTCACTTAGATTTTAATATTTATGCCATTGATTTTCATCCAAGAGTGGTTGTATTAAAATTGAATATTTTTCACTTAAATTTTGATATTAATATAGAAATATTTAAATTTAATATATTTCATATTTAAATTTAATATGTTTCATATTAAATTTAATATGTTATATTTAATAGTTTCATATTAATTTAATATGTTTCATATTCAAATTTAATATGTTTCATATTTAATGTTAATATGCTTTATATTTAAATCTAATATGTTAAATATTTAAATCTAATATGTTTCATATTTATATTTATATTCATTTTTAACTAATTGGTTATTATTTTGCGTACGCAAATTACATTTCAAGTCCTCATGGTGTGAATTGGTTAAAGTTTTCAACTAGAAATAATCGCAAAATGAGTAGGACTGCATTGGTTCTGATTATGCCCCTGCGCTAAGATAATTTTACTGCGCATTCAAGGCAGCAGCAGCTGGAACTAGTTGGGAATTCGAGGGACATAAAAAAATAATATAAACATAGTTAAAATAAATACAAAAAATATTTGATTTCATTTAATATGGAATATTTAAAATAAAAAGTTTTTTACTACAAAAGATTGTAGTTATTTTTACTATGCCTTTTTTCTATCAGTGTAGGATCAATAGCCTTTAGCATCTGCCGCCCCCGCAAATCTATTAAATATTTCGAGCGGGGCATAGGCAATTTTCAACCATTTTTGCTAACCCACAAAATGCTTTGCTATTGGGATAATTTAATTATTAATGAATTTTAAAATTAAGAAAAAAGTTTTTATTTTTCAGAAATGTGGCATAATGTGGCACTTCTTTTCCTACACAATCTAAGAGTCTGCCTAGCACCGGGTTTGGCATTCCTACAAATCCCGCCCCGAGGCCAAGGCCTAGTAGGGAAAGGCAAAAGGCAAAGGGTAGGGCCCCGGCATTTCGCGCTGGCTATACCTTTTGAATTTTGAATCAAAAATTCGCCAGTAAATACGTATACGTGTGTGTACGTATAATATACAACACAGTATCCAACACGTCACGGCGAAATAACTCAAAATTGATTTATCGTGAATATATTTGCTGATAGACCCATAACGACAAGGGGCCGGAGCCGCGGCCGGGGCAGGGGGCAGCGGGGCAACGGGATGAATGAGTCAACTTTCAAAATTTGTTATGAGTGTCAATTACAGTAGAAACAATGAGTGAAGCATTGTTACCTGTCCGAAACGTGAGGCTGACGTGACGGGATGTTGTCGATTGTTTAACCGACAATTGTGTTTGGAAATTTATGTCAGCACTGGCCAGAAGCCAGAAGCCAGTTAGTAGTAGTAGTAGCATTGGGTACAATGGCAGTAGCCAGTAGCCGTGGGCTTGTGGTTGCGGCGGAAGCAACAACAGTCGAGGGAGGGGACTGTTGCTCAGTCCAACGACGACGTGCACACGATCAATTACAAGCGAATAAATTGTGTTGCTTGGCCAAGATGGGAGCGATGGGAGATGGAAGAAAATCGAATGGGCATGCGTGCTAATATGCATGGCTTTTACTATTTCGACGCACTTTGCGATGGAATACAAAAAAGTACATAACCCGATTCGGCTGTCATTTGAATGCACCTGCACGCACAGCCCCCCACCCACCTACGGAACATGGATGGGATGGGACAATGGGTTCGCTTGCAGCTCACGATCCGATGCAGATGGGGCGATCAACGCCTTTTGCCAGAGACCACCATACGAGTTCGCGCCGTTGCCAGTCTTTTTTTTGGGTAGTGGTAGGGGTAGGGGTAGGGGCAGGGGTATATAAGCTATATAGCTTACCTATTAAATGGATAGCCAGCAAATGCGGCATCATATGGATGATACATCGATGGATATGGCCATGGGGATGCGCCGGCAACGAGGTTCTCCTTCAGATCGATTCCAGCCTGCAAGATGACACAATAAAATATATATTTATAGAGTAAGTATTTGTTTTTGTTTTTTGTTATTATTATTAATTTCAAGACAAATTCAAAGTCGAGCTGCTGATTGGGACTTGAACTAAAGCCCATTTGGCTGGACCTTGAACTAAAATTATTAAAAATCATGTTAAACAAATAATTAAAACATCTTCCAAGTTTATTTTTGAACACATTTATTTTTGGGCTGGGGCGAAAAATGCTATCAAGACACAGACAAGTGCCCAGGGGCGCTGTCGTGGAGCGATAATGAAGCAGAGTATTTTTGTACTTTTTTTAAATCAAATATTTGCAGCATTTTCAGCGGTGAAAGTTCACTTTGAAATATAAATATATATGGATTTTAGTTGAATTTGATTGATTACATAAATGAATGGACTTGCCATACATATTTACATGTATTTGGCATCCACTATAATGTGTATTCCAGCCCACTGTGTCGGTTGTAGCTGTATATTGATAAGGGGCACAATCTGAACAGCATCGTTGAACATGTGCCCCAGTCGTGGGGCTCAGCAGCAGCAGCAGCAGCAACTCGAATGCTCAACATCAGCATTGTGTCTGCATTTGTGTCTTAATCCGAGAATAAAGTGTATACGTACGTATACCCTTGGAAGTGTCTAGTTACAGCAAACATGCCCCGATAAATGCCCAATGGAAAGTTGCATGCAAAAATACAAGCACAAGCATTAGAGCAGCAGTCCAGCAGGCTGTACACTGTGTTGTATATATTGTATAGTACATATAGATTAAGCTACACGTTTAGTACTAATACTGTCTTGTCTTGTGACTTAATTCGATGCGACAGATGTCAGCTGTTCGCCGCTATTCCAACCGATAATGAGCAAAGATGGCGCAGCGTAGAGAGACAGACAGACAGACAGCTGCCTGACTGCCTGTCTGCCCGCCTGCCTGCATACATATTATACTCGTATAATACATATTATAATGTACATCCCCAACTGAAACTAGTGCAGCATTCATTTGCTTTTACGAGTGAGTAAACCAACAAATGAAATGTAGAGTCAAAATTCAGTCAATGTCGTTTGGCTGGGTCAGTCTGCCAGTGTACCACAAAACAAGATGCGAAATCAATAAGAATTGAGCGATAGACATCTACATGGCACCGCAGGACGACGACGGGCAGGATGCAAACACACACACATAAACACACACAGTATGCAGGTCGCTCGTCGCATGCACAATGCAACAAAATCTATTGTCTGCAGCGGCAGCAGCAGAGTCAGAGGCAGAGTCAGAGGCGACACCACAACGATTCCGTTGCCCGTTGCCCGTCGGTGTCGTCGTCGTCGTCTCGACGAACGTCTGGCAAGATTACTGCAAAAGCGGAAATATTTTTATGTCGCCAACACGAAAATGTTGCTGTTCCCAGCCGCTATCATCCGACCATCGACCATCGACGGGTTCTGACTGTGGCTCTGGCTACGTAGTCTGCACTTGGATTGGGATTGGCACAGGGGGTTCGTTCAGGTCCTGTTCAGGTTCGCGCAGCATGGGGTTGAGTACAAGTACAGCGACGATAGACTGATAAACAGCAACAGAAAGATCGGCAGGCAAAGGCAGCAAGGCAAGGCCCTTTGACAGGTCCCAGGTCCTACTGCAGACAAACCCAAAACTCCAGCTCAAAATGCAGGCGGAGGAGCGCTTCGGTCTCTCTCTCTCTCTCTCCTGCTCTCCTGGATTGGAGAAGTCATTTAGCTGAGCATCTACAAGGTACATCGTACATACATCGTTCTGGCAAGGGTACACTATATTAAATTACAGTGCCCGGATGGGCCCGATCGCTCTGCTTCAGCTGGGTTCCTATTTCTCAATGGAGCCAAAGCCGAACCGGTTTTCTTTCCTACAACAATCATGCCCGAACTATCATCACCCGAACTGCACTGGCATTTTGGCCAAAAGTGCGGCTCCAAAGTGGTCTGGTGGGGCTTTTGCTCGCTTGCTCTTGGCGATTTTTTTGGCTGAATCTGTGCCGTGCGTGTGGAGTGGAGTGGAGTGCGTGTATGGGCCATGTCCATGCGGGTAAAGCGTACATAATAAATTGTAGCTGGCCTGGCTACTACACACAGCAATAGAAGGCAGCGAACGCCTCCTTCGGCATTCATCGCTACTGTTGCCAAGAACATACAGAACGGTCCGTTGTTGCAACTGCAACTGCAACTGCACGCCTCCTGTGTCGACTGGCGAATGCGCTTGCGGTGGTTAATATTAACAAGATTCGACATGTTCGCATCTGCGTTTATTATTACCAATACACAGTGTCATGCAATGCAGCAGCCAGCCAGCCAGCCAGCCAGCCATCCAGCAGCCAGATGCCTGCCACTTGTTTTCGAGTTCCATATTGCATTACCAGAGACAGCAGATTGTATGTACAAGTTTTGTAGTGAAGATTGCACAGAACCGATAGGGACCGTCCGTAAGTAGTATTTATGCATTATCTAAGATAATCTTGGCACAGATTAACCCACTTTTGAGCGGGAGCAAAGTTTCTTTCTGCAGCTTCCTCCACTGCTGACTGGCAAATTAAATAATTCAAATTAAAATGGGACTGTGACTGAAACTGTGACTGTTCATCTTCATTACGATGTAAATTCTGAGACTGTGTAGCCTTCACGCCAAAACGTCAATGGACATTTCTTTGGGGGGCTCCGCGTAACGACAACCGACGACAATTGGAGGACGCGAGACGAATCGCTGTGGCTGTGGCTCCGGCTCCGGCTCCGGCTCCGGCTCCTGTGGTCTGTCGCCCTGATGCGCCACAATTTGAACGATGCGCGTAATGACGGGTCGAGTTAATTAATTGCTGCTTCGATTTAAAAATAAACGCACGTTTATCCGGCGCATTCCCGCCCTGTGCTCATTGGAGAACGGTGTACTGCTTGCTGCTGCTGGCTGCTGCTGCTGGCGACGACCGAAAGAATGAATGGAATCGAAATCAGAATTGAAATCAGAATCGAGAATCGAGAATCGAGAAAATTGAAATTGACTACGAGACTACGAGGAGCTGCCACTTCCGACTGAGAGAGCTGCGAATGAATGCCTGAGGTGCTCTCCATTCTACGCCAAAAACCTCACAGCTCACAGTGACATTTTCTTGGCTCGTTTATAAAGTTTATAAAGTTGTACAAAACTGTTATGGTTGTTGTTGTTGGTTGTTGTTGTTGTTTGGCGCCTTGCCGCCGTGGTCTCGTATGGCTATGCTCGTTGCCATGACTGCTAATTTGTTTGTTGTAGGCAACCATTGAGGCTGAGGCTTTTCAGTATCAGAGAGCCAGCCTTGGGGTTGCCTTTTGCCTTGCCCTCCCTGCCTTGGGCCTGCCCTTCCCTCTGACCCTCATTGGGTGTGTATACTGTGTGTGTGTGTGTGTGTGTGTCAGGGGTGGGGCAGGACCTCATATAAAAGTGCAAAATTTACTGTTAACGAACATTCTCAACTTTGCCAAAAAGCCAAACAACAACGGCAGCAACACAAAAACTTTCCACAACACTTACTGCAACAACAATGAGATGGGTGACAGGGAGGGAGAGAGAGAGGGGGCCGTAAATGTATTTAGTACTTTGCCACGAACGCCCCTCGTCCTGGCCTGGCCCGTCACCTCAACCATTAGAGCCCCGGAGCCCAGGAGCAACCCCCAAAACAACACGACACCACTTCGACATTTTGAAAGTTGACAAATCAGTGCATGTACTCGTACTCCAGCTCCACAGCTCCACAGCTCCACAGCTCCAAGGAGAACGTTGCAGAGAGACTGGAGAGCGAGGAGGCTGGTTCTGCTTCTGCTCCTGGTTCTGGATCTGAATCTGAATCTGGATTGTTGCTCTTGTTGGGGGTTGTTTTCCGTAAAATGCTGCAAGTGGGTTCGGCCTCTGCCAGCCTGTGTGTGTTGGTCCGATTTGTAGTTGCCTTTCTGTTACATTTTGCAGAGAACTTGCCAAAAGGCAAGGGCAACGGCAACGGCAAAGGCAAAAGTTTTTGTAGCTCCCACAGGACATGAATGTACCACATTTGGCCCGACAGCCAGCAGCAGCAGTGGCAGTGGCAGCCTCTTTGTTGCCTCTTGCCGCTTGAGAGGCAGAGACCGAGTTGTACTATGTTGCCGAGTGTGAAATTTCATGCTTGCATTGTTGTCGTTGATGATGTAGCGGCACTTAAGCTATGGAAAAGTCAATATACCATGTACCATCCTCGGCGTCAAGTGCCCCCCCACACACACCCTTCAGGGGGGTATGTGTGTGTGTGTTTGTGTGTGTTACTGAGTGGAAATGGGAGGATGAAAACTTCAACTCAATAAAGAGGCTCCCAAGCAACTCTATTCAAAAGCAGACGCTGCAGATCGATGCGAATATATCTAAATTGGAATATTCACTTGGCCCGTCCCCTCATTTGACTTCTGAAGGAAACTAATTATAGGAAGTGCAGCTGGAACCTACTACCATGTAGCATGCAACAATATGCTGCTGCTGCTCTGCTGCTGCTGCTGCTCTGCTCTAAGTAAGTCATTCAGTTCAGGTCGACAATTTCCAACCTGAGGGACAAGGGATAAGTAATTTGACGGATAGATGAGACGGCTGGCTGGCTGGCTGGCAGGCTGGCTGGGGGCAAGTCGCAGGCGGACAGCCTGTCACTTGCGTGTTGACAAATTTATTAATAAGGTACGTTACGAGGAGTAGCAGCAGTGGCAGGCAGCAGTCGACGCCCCCCCCAACACATCGAGAAAAAAAACAGCAGGCGCGGCCTCTGGGTCGGCCTATTTGTTAGCGGGCGGCGCTCTTCAAATGTATCTTGCCATTTGAAATGACAGCGATGCCGCTTGAACGCGGTTGCACCATCATCATCCACCATCCAACATCCACCATCCACCATCCACCTTCGACCGTACGTAAACCATCTTCCATTTAGAGTCAAAGAGTCCCAGAGTTCCATTCGGGGGCATTTGGCCCCTGTGCATGGCATGTGCGGGGTGCAGTGGAGTACCGAGAAATATATACATATATATATATATTCCCGCGTTGCGGCAAACTGACAGCCGCTTGACAGCTCGTGTCAAAGTAATGAATCCACCGCATTGAGCAGACACTTTTACAACTCCGCCGGAATTCTATGCTACCCCAGAAAAGTGCCCATAGAAGATGCAAAGAGAAATCGCTCCAGTTTAGCCGTTTTGGCCTAAGCGCCGGCGGCAAAGCGACACCACGACACAGCGACACAGCGACACCAAAAGTGACTAATTACGAGCCACGGATGATTTATATTAGCGAAGACGCGACCCCGAACTGTTTTGTCTTTTCTTTTAAACGCTGCTATCACTCGTACGGGAAGCGTACGTACCTCTCCTCGATCCATTGAAGAAGTGCGTGTGTGGGGAGTAGTGGGGAGTACTCCATCAAAGTGCTGTGTCAGCGCCTCTTGGCACAAGTCTGTGCCGCAGGTATGGCTACGGGGGGGTACTTAATCATTTATCGATGGGTTTTCGAATGCGACTTTCATGATTCGAACACAACACAATGCCATATAATACGAGTATATCCATTCCCATACAAAACAGAATACAGAATACAGAAAAGAATGCCGCAAAGCACACAACTAAATCTATACAAAATCGCGGCTACTGGAAGCCAGCCGACCGGTTTTATATAAATGTTTTTTGTTGTTGTTGTTGTTGTTGCAGCCAAAAACGAGTTCAAATGCGAATGCGAATGCGAATGAATATTGAATATTTAATTTGGGCATTGTAGATAGCCGAAACGGCCTGAGCAACACCAATTCCCCAAACTCAGTGATTTACTATGTTTCCAAACACAAATTGCCAATCGGAAAACTTGCAACTAATTTTGTTTAAATATGCTAAAGCAGGGGCTGGGCTGGGCTGTGCTGAAGCTCAATTTACTGTCCCGGTAGTGACAAATGCGATATATACAATGATATATACAATACGATATATATATGTACGATATATGTACACGCAATGGATCATACCATTCATTAAACCGCCAGTTTCGGTTTCAGCAAGCGTCAGCAATTCTTTTCGAGTTCTGCTTCTGTTTTTTTTCTGGTTGTCAGCTTTTGAGACTCTTTTTTTTTTTTTTTTTTTTCTTTTTTTTTGGTTTTTTTTGGTTTTTGTTTTGTTTTTGACTTGTAAGCAAATAAATTTATGTGTTCACATTTTATTGGATCATATTTGGACTTGGAGTGCAGAAAAGAGGCCTCCTCCAGATGGATATTGATATGATAGATTTATTACGACGAGCATTACGAATCCGATTTCATCTGCAGTTTTCGGCTAACAAATGACCCCTCCTGAGTGAGTGCCGTACCCGTACCTGAGATATTGTGCGCCGCATGTGGTCCCCCAGTAATGTAACCAAATAGAATTGTTGGCAAACAGACAGAGCCAAATTACATGGATGCTATTAGAAGTAAAAGGGCGAACAAAGGGCCGACGCGTCGGCGGTTAAAGCGCCGGACATGTGGTGAGCAGGCGGCAGGCCCAGGCCCAGGCCCAGGCAGGACGTGTCCCATTGTCGAGAAAAATGTCTACTTTAGGCTCAGTCTCAGTCGCAGTCGCAGTCTCAGCAGCAGTCTCCCAGGTCGAGTATTTTGCAAACACACACAATGTGGCTTGAAATATCACCCAAGCAGGCCAAATGAGAGGTCAGGCATAGGCCCTAGGCTCCAAGGCCTGACAAATCGCTCGCTGGGCTGCTTAAGCGAATGCCAAAAGCTAAACCCCAGACGGACACTGGTTCTCGTTCGTTCGTTCGTTCGGAAGCAGTGTACCCATAGACTGGTACACGATCAAATGACGGAGACGACAACGAACCGACGACGCCGACGTGGACGTGGACGCTGATGGTGGTCTGCCGCTCCGACGCTGGACAAATTCACAAATTTATTGCACCATTGTTCAGTCATATGACTTATGAACAGACCGGACTGCAGCAGCACGAGTCCGTCCTCCGAGTACGTGGTACGGGGGGCGGTGAGTTTGGGGGCAACTTTACTTACCGGATTAGCGTAGAACGGAGGTTGATCGCCGGCAATGCCCGATAGGTATGCAGACATTCCCTCGGGATACACACCGAGCGGCACGCCACCCGCCGCAGCGAGCCGCTGATAGTTGAGCATATCGTACTGGCAGGAGCAGATCGTCTGGCCGCTGACGGGGTCCGTGTAGATGGTGCGACCCGTATCGCAGCAGCGATTCGGATTGGCGGAGGCGGGCGGTGGAACTGGACCGGACGAGTGCGGTCCCGGTGGCGGCTGTCCGAGCACGGGCAGTGCTGGCAGGCCGGCCGCCGCCCCGCACGGGGAGGTGGAGCGCGCTCCCTGAGGCACCGTAGACGTCACCATTCCACTGTGCCCGGGCCCGGCAACGGGCGTACCCAATGGCTGCTGGTTGGCGGGACAAGCTAGCGTCGCCACCGTCGACGGAGGAGTCTGCGACGGCGCGTTGGTTGGAGGTGTGTTGGGCGATGAAGTGGCAAGGTGAGTTGAAACGGCATTCTGCAAGGGAAGAATATACCAAAAAGTGTGCCATTAATATTTGTACAAATATTTTAATTTAATTTATTTTTATTAAAAGTGTGATGCGTATTTGGCAATTAAGATCGAACACTCACAATAATCATATATATTTACTGTGCACTGGCACATCGATTCATTCGAAGAGATCTTTTGAAGCAGAACACACGAAATTTGGTTCATTTATTTAAAGCATCCAAAGAAAATTATGAAAATTAATTTCAGACCAAAAATTAAATAAATAAAATGGAATTAAAAGAAAAGAAAAAAAAAAGAAATATTATTTGTGATCTTCACTTCAAAATCTTTTTTTTTTTTTTGGTTCATAAATGAATGAAATTACTAAAATTATGCTAATTAGATTTCATTACCAAAAACTTTAGTGCAAGAACGTCACCAAAAGGGTTTGGTTTTTTTTTTTTTTTAAGTTTCCCAAATAATCCAAATTATCCAATCCGTTTTTGAGTTTACGGCAAACCATTAACCGAACCGATGGCAGTCGATGCTTCTTCTTTTGACTGGATGCAAGTTGCTATGGTCGGAAGGTCTACTGTACCGTGTTTCGCTACCAGCTACCAGCTGGCACTAAAACTTAATTAAAAACGTTGACTCTTATCAATGCGATAAGCGCGTCTCCTCCTAGGTATACAGAGTCTATGGGTGCCCTGGGCCCTGGGCCTGGGCCTGGGTCTGGGCCCTTCAAAACCATCTCAACTGCTGCTGCTGCTGCTGCTGCTGTTGTCTCAGTCAATAAAAATGGAACTCTCTCGGAACTGAACCCGAGACCCCTTCGACGGAGCGGACGGATCTTCAAAGTGGGGCCGCCATTACCAACAAATCATGTTTTCGATTGACAACATTGATTTAAATTACACAGCCGATTGCTGCCAACGACGACAGCGGCAACAACAACAACAACTGCAGTGCCTCGAGAGGCATCGACATCCACAGGCCAACAACATACAACAACATACAAACAACATCGATGGCAACAGCAACGGCAACAGCAACGTCCTAAGAGCAATTTGATTGTAAGTTGTCCAATGACTGGCCGGGAATCGGTGCTCGGATCGGAGCTCTTGCGCTGCACCGGACTCCGTGTCCGACTCCCGACTCTGACTCTGCGGCGCTGCACCTCGGCATAAGCCTATCGCGCACTTTTGTCAACACTTTTAGTCGGCAAGAGAACACACTGCACACTGCACACACACACTCCTCGCACCAATACTCGTGGCATTCGTAGTACCAACACATGGAGCAGACATGGGGACGCATCCGCGGACAAGTTTCAGGTTTGTTTATCGACTTGACTTGACTGCTGTCTCTTCGGTTTGCTTGTGTTAACTTTTTCCTGGGTTTGGCTTTGGCTTTGGCTTTGGTTCTTCTCACTATCTCTCTCGCTCTCGCTCTCTCTCTCTCTCTCCTCCCTGTCTCTGTTGCTGCTTTTCCCATTTAACATTTTACAAATGATCCAAGGCGTAAGATACGATTTTTATCGCAGAACCGCCGGTCAAAGCGCTCGCTCCATGTATTTGGCGGCGGCCGAGACCAAACAATGATTGATACCCCGCCGCTAACCCTAGATGAAACGCCCTGCTACACTCGTGCATACATAGATACATGGGGCAATGGGCCACTGCATCGGGAATCGGAAATCGGGCATAGGGATCGTGATCGGGATGGCCACCTCAGCCCTCCCTTCACGGCTCGTCCCGTCTCGTGCTTTCATCGAGTGACAACTCAAGTGGCCCTATACGATTAAAAATTAATTCCCGGTGTTTGTGTTGCCCAATGGAAAATGGGCAGCTGATAAGCTGCCACTTTGAATCCGCCGCCGATGATTATCTCTCCGTGGGCCTTACTGTATCTATGGGTTCCAATAAGCGTAGCACTCCAACTCCTCGAACATTGAAATTGGAAACGAAAGCGATGCATAGATGATGGATAGAATAACACAAGTGATACGAGCATTGCAATAGCCATATTTTTCAGTTATATTTATTCTACGATTAATGGAAATTAAATAGAGTGGAGTGGAGTGGAGTGAGAGTAGAATGTAGAGTTTAATTCGAGAGTTGCTTTGCGGTTACACTGACTAGTGTTTCTGCTGTGCCACAAGTTGCATTCCACGTTACATATTTGTTGGCTCGAGTGCCGTGAATTGATTACATTTGGGCGGCAAAGAGAGGCACATACGCATCCAGTGGCTCCGATTACCAAACAGGCCTCCTATTCGTGTGACCTTTGCGAGTGTGAGCCAGGAAGAGTCGCATTTGAACACCAGATCTTATTGGCTTGCTAACAACATTTCAGTTCTGTTCGGTTCGGTTCTATTCTGTTCTGTTCGCAAAGTACTACGACCTTGCTTGCTTTTATTTAACAAGTACATGCAACGTATTTTTTGAGCAGACATTTTCTTGGTTGGCATCTCGAATGGATTTGTGGCTTGTCCTAAGAACAAATGTGGCACAAATGTGCTCTGTGCTCAGTGCTCTGTGCTCTGGTCCTGACATTTTCACATCCACTGTGGCTCTGTGGACTTGGCAGACAATCGATTGTAAACATCTACTTGGACTTATTTTTAAGTGCATTTCCATTTGCCAAATTAAATTACTCGCCAAAACGAGCGCGTCGAAACATGCAATACAATATATTTATATTTAAATACTGTGTCTGACAAGTGATCGTCGTGCCATGTTCCTCTTGGGGTGCTGTTCGCTCTTTAGCCTGCCAATAATCGAAAATCTGGCCGGTGCTTGATCAACAAGTGCTGTCCGACAAGGGAATCTGTCGCTGCCTCTCGCTCTCTATACATAAATCTCTGAGTGCAATCCAGGAAATTTATAGAAAAATGTGCCCCACAAGCCCGGAATTCCGCTTAATCCTCGGCAACCAAAGATGTGGGCAGAGTTGCGAGTCTCCAACAAAGACAATTATACAGCAGATATACGAATGAATGAACGATGAATTATGGCAACATTTTACACCCATCAAAATATCCCAAAAATATATTAATGATCGATGAATTATGGCAATATTACAGCCATCAAAATATGCCAAAAATTGCTGGAAAAAAAAAGACGAGTAGTACAAGTATGTAAAAGTTAAATACGCACCATTACTAAACAGATACCGGTTTCATTACTGTGCACTGTCATTTAATATTAATTTTTTGCTCTTAACTTAAACTTTAAAGTATTCTGGAAGTCCCGATCTAGATCGAACTCTCAAATTCACGGGCAAACTAACGCACTGCCAAATAATTCGATACGATTTTCGTGTGCTAAAAGGGACGAAGTTTTCTCTTCTCTTCTCTTCTCTTATTTTATTTTCTTTTGTTTTGTTTTCTTTTCTTTTGCTTTCTTTTGTGTGTGTTTCCGATCATAAGCTTTAGCTTTGGAAGTGATGATTGCTTGTCGATGAATACTTTGGGGATCATTTATAATTAATTATTTTTTTCACAATTGGCTTTTAACGGGTGGGGTAACGGGGTGTAACGATTTAGCATTAGCACATGCCGCGACGGAGTCTCAGTATTTGTTGTGGATGTTTGTGCATCTGGATTTCACTCTATGGGGCACTTGCCGACGGCCAAAGCGTTGTGGCAGTTGCAGTTGCAGTTGCAGGCGGGTTACAGTTTCAGTTTCAGTTTGAGCCAACAATCCAGTACTACGGGGCACGGACGGGGCACGGACACGGCTTAGTGGAGATGCACAAATCCGCGGCGGCTGCCACAGGCGGCGGCAGTGTGTGTGACGGCGGCGGCGGAAGTCGGAGACGATGACGAAGACGACCGGAGAGCGAGCCGGAGATGGAGGCCAGACCGAAGAGTCGTATTGGAGTCGGAATACGAACCAATGCGACGGAGGAGCAGCCAGCAAACAACAACCTGAAGCGACGGCGCGCAGCAGACGAACCGAACCCAAGCGGCAGGCAGTCACAGGCACAGGCACACACAGGGCACGGCACAGCACAGCACAGCACAGGCAGCACAGGCAGCACGAACGCAACGAACGATACGAACAATCTGCGTAACAGTCGAAAGTAGACTAACATGAGTTTCTTGAGCAACTACAAAGTGTACGACAAATGGGAATTACACGACAACCGACAATCGAAAACAGCGAAAAACAGCAACAGCAACAACAGCAGCAGCAGCAGCTACATGCCGCACACCACCAACACTACTACGACAGCGGTGGCAGCAGCAGCAGCAGCCACACACAGATACGCCACACAAATGCAATATGTAATGGTATTAGTGTTTGCTCAGCAAGAGAGAGAGAGAGCGAGCGAGAGAGAGAGAGCGAGAGAGCGACAGTGTGATGGGCAAAACTTGTTTCTCCCCCTTATTTTTACTCTTTCTGGGGAATGTGTGCCTTGGTAGTGGTATATCTGGTGGTGGCTCTCACAAAAAGATGTATCTATGTAACTGCGTGTGTGTGTGTGTGTGCGAGTGGTGGGGTACGAGTACGACGAGTACGACGAGTACGAGTACGAACGATGACGACGAACAGCCAACACGGAGCGTAACAACGGCAATAATGATTATCATTATAAGTGGGCTGGCGCTGGGGCGGCCTGGGCCTGGGCCTGGCTGTGGCACACGCGAGTGTGCCCCGACACCCCAAACACTGTGCGAGTGCGAGCGAGATGGTGTGGCACGAGAACCGGTTGCGTCATGGGAACACAGAACGGGAGCAGGGGGGGGGGGCAGGGACACACACAAAAAAGTATCTGAGCTGAACTGAACTGCTGCTGCTGTGGCTGTTGCTGTGGCTGCTGCTTGCTTGCTGTGACCATAAATAAAGTATCTGGCAGTTGCGGTGGGCGAGAGCGAGACAGCAAGTGGCCCCGGTCTGGGCCACGAATCGGCAGTCGGCAGCAGCGGCAGCATCGGCAGCAGCGACGACAGCCAGTTGTTGGCTGTTGGCTGGCTGCTTCGCTCTCTCTCTCTCGAGTGCGAGCAGTGCGGCGCATATGGCCAGAGAGAGAACATGAAAAAATTAACTTAACAACTAGAAAAATGGCTGTTATTGCGTGTTGTTGTAAATGCCGATGTATGTATTTGTAGGCACTGTTGTTGCTGCCTGACTGCCTGCCTCCGTTGCTGCTGCTGCTGCTGCTGTTGCAACGCTGCTACTTGCTGCTGCTGCTGCTGCGACTGCGACGACTGCTGCTGCTGCCGTGGGTGTTGGTACCGTGTATTTGTTGCCATAAACAACACAACAACACGAAACGTCGCGACGTATGAAAGCAAAGTGTTTGCTCTTGCTCCGCGCCGTGCTCCCTCCACACTCCCCCACTCCGCACTGCTGCTGCTGCTGCTGCTGCTCGATGAAATAAGAAAAGCTTGATGAACATGAACGAAACGAAAGTCGTGAAGAAGAGGTTGGGCCAACGCGGCTGTCGTTGCACGTAGTACGTACCGTACACCGTACACTGTACACTGTGTGGCGATGGGTAATGTTTTATCATCTGCCCGCCTCCCGCCTCCCCTGTCTGTCCCCTCTTCTGGCTCTGCCACTGACCGCTGTTTGGCTGGTGCTGCTGCTGGGATTGGTGGCATCTTTCGCGCTGCCGCAGTCAACGTTGCTGCTGCTGCTGCCGCCGCCGCCTCTGTCTCTGTCTGCTGCTGCTGCTGCTGCTACAACATACGCTCTTACATTTTATTATGTAGGTATTTGTTTTTGTTTCTTTCTTTCTTTCTTTTTTTTTTTTGTTTCTCTGTTTTTGCCTCTTTCCGTGGCGTTTCTTTAACTTTTTCTAATTAATTGAAACGCCACTCGAGAGGAGTGACGGCGCCTGCCTGCTGCCTGCCTGCTGCTGGGGCAGCTGTGAGAGAGCGAGAGCGAGAGCGGGATGGCTACAGCACTGACACGTCGTTTATAAGTCTGTATATCCCCTGTACATACCCCTCCCCTCCGCCACACTCGTACAAATGTACCTATGTACTCAGATATAGCCGCACATCGCACACACAAATGCCATGTAGACTATATTCGAAAGCTACTTTGTCGTGGCTGGCAATCGGTGCTGCTGGCCCGCTGCCACCTCCTGGCACCTCCTGGCACCTCCTGGCATACGGTGTCGCACACGCAGTAAACAAAGTCTTACAACATTTGAATGCAGCCACTTTGTACGTACTCCTTCCTGAAGCCATTAACAACTAGTTTCCCGATAGTCATTTGTTGTTTTTGGGGCGATCTGCCGATCACGAAAGTTGCCTCCATGTGGCGCTGCCTGTGCCCCACTGCTAGATGTGGATCAGTGGAATAACTGCTCATATGTCCAGGGAGATATCAAATCTCATTTTATTCGGATCATTAATGGGATCCCTAAGCGATACGCTTACACCCCAAAAGGTTTCTCCCATAGACATTCACATTACGTATACGCAGCGTTGTCTGCACGGAAATGCGGAACAAGCTCATAATTGCTCTCGCTGATAACTTGATTAAATTCATGATTTTACATTAGTTTCGGGGTACATACAAAAATATACAAAATCTAGGGCTATAAAAAAAAAAAAAAAAAATAAAATAAATAAAAAATATTCTAAATTAGATTTCTCGTTTCAGTTAATTTTTTTGAAGGGATATTTAAACCGATCAACCGTTCGGTATAAACCCAAAAGCATTCTCAGACCCACACCGTTTGCCATCTTCACATTGCGAAAGGACATTGCCCCAAGGACACTGCAGACACTGCCCATTCAACTAAGAATCAGCGGAAATATCTGTTTGTGCATACCCGTGGATATATGTAATTGATAATCATGTGGAGATCCTGCCAAATGAGCAGAGGGATGGCAGCTCCCCGGCAGAGCATCTTTCAACATTGTGCGGCCTTAATTGGCTCGCGAGCAGGCAACAAATTCAGATCACGTCAAGTCATTGGCGCGACTACAAAATTGCCGTCGCCTTCTCCACGGGGAGGACACAACAACAACAACAACTACAGGAACAACACCAAACATAGCAGCTCCCCGGCCCGGCCCGGCCATGACACTCGCAACCGCAGAGCCGCAGCTGGCAGCTGGAGGGGGGTGGGTGGCAGGAGGGGGAGGCGCGAGATTGGCCACCAGTCTTTTTCGGGCTCAGCCCCAGGGGGGCGGGCACACAGTCGCTTACTGGCGCTAAGAGGCCGTGGCAAGAGTGACACAGCGAAAGACAGAGAGAGAGGTAGAGAGAGAGAGAGAGAGAGTGGGAACAAGCGAGAGCGGGAGAGCGAGAGAACGAGATAGATATGGCATGGAAAAGTTGCCCCAAAGGCCGCAAGCAAAAGCGGGAGGGCAAGATGATGCCCGGAGTCGCCACCGTCGCCTCTCACTGCCTCTGGCTGTGGCCTCTGCCGCTCTGCCATCTCTGCTGCCTTCCCAGTCCCAGTCGCAGTCCCAGTCCCAGCCGCAGTCGTTAGTCGCAGTCGATCCAAATCCAGAAACAACGTCAGTCTTTGTTTAACGATTTTTATATTTCGAACACGAGATATATTTGTATCCTTTGTGTTTTTCGTGTTGCCACAGAGCAGCGTTGTATCTCTGTATGTTGTAGTTGTATTGATGGCAGCAGCAGCAGCGGAGGCAGCAGCGGTGGCAGCTTTTGCCTGCTGCCACTTCGTTTCGTATCTTTTTGCCTCGTCTCACCCATACATGCATACATACATACATGTATGTACATGTGTACCTGTGTCCGTGTATATCTTGCTTGTGCTTGCAACAGCAGCAGCAGCAGCGGCAGGCAGTGGCAGTGGCAGCAACAGCAGCAGCGCTCAGGTTGTTACTACAGAAGGTTGGCATTTGTGTTTGTGCAGAGCCAATGACGATTGTGAGCTTTGAGGCTCAACTTTCTCGGCACTTTTCACACAGTTCTGCCCCGGTACACGTACACGTACACGTATCCGTATCTGCTGTGTCTGCTGTATCTGCTGTGTGTGTGTTGCATGAACGTGGACAAGGCAAGCGCGTGTAGCAAGGCAGCGCCGTGTGTGCGTACGACACGAATCTTAATCTAATAGATACAAATGAAAAGGTGCTTGGGTGCTCCGCTCTGGTGTAATCGCTTTGACTCGGCGGCGTCGGCGTTGGAGCTAAGAGGGAAGGGCTGTGCCGGTGACTGGGGGCTGGCTGCGGTTTGTTTTTACCCTCCTTCCCCCGAAAATCAAGTGGATCGAGTATTGATTTCCTTGCTTCTGTTCGAGGGATTTCCCTTCGGGGAAAAGTTTGGCTGTGGCAAAGTTTTGATTGATTTTCTTAAAGGAAAACTCCATTTGGCGAGTTCATTATGAAGATACAAATAGATGGAGTTGAAGTGGGACATGCCACATGGATATATAC